TTTTTTTTCTTATCGGCTACAACAGAAACTTACTGTTCTTTAGGTGGAAAATGATCGATGAGCAGAAAGTCGTACTAATTGTTATGTTATGTAAATTGGTGGAGATGAGTAAGGTGCGTTTCAACAATGTCCTGCGCTAGCGCTAGCCTGAACAATCTGCTTGAGGTTAAATGTGAACGTTACTGGCCGTCCGATGTTGGACAAACCCTCATTTTTGGGGCATATGAGATTATGCTCGAATCGGAGGAAAGGTAAATCATCTTTTTTATATGTCATTATTTTTTCAATTATTCTTAAAGGGAGGGAGCTTGTCAACACATTTGTTAGGTCATTTTTATGAAATTGAATCATTTCTGAATTTCTGTGTCTTTGAAATGTTCAAAACTACATGTTTTACCAGAAGTGAATCTGTTACTATGCGCTTCTGGATCTATATACATAGCAGAACTAAAAATTGCTTTATTGTTTGATTTGATTACTTGGAGTGAAATCATTTGTCTTGAAGTAGCGTCATGGACTTTCATTGTCATTTATTGGTGTCTTTTTGAAGTTATAAATGGGATTTCAAAGCAAATTTATCCATCCATTATCGAAAACAAACATCAGAAATCAAGCAACGTACTGTTATCATCCGAGGCTTCTTTTCTTTGGGACATCCTTTCATAGAATAATGATTGAGCGGCCATTGTCAGCTACTGAAACAGATGCTTCAGTTTCACGGACGACGAATACCTCATGAGACGGCTGAAAATGACCCATACCAGAACAGGCGAGTCAAGGTTGATCACACAGCTGCATTACAGGTAATTCTGCTTGGCCACTGTTTTTGTCTTTGCTTACTATGCCCACGAAATATGTTTTCAGGGAATGGCCTGATCACGGTTGCCCGTCTGGCGAAGATCAACTAATCAACATGATCGAAAAGATGGCTGAATACAATAAGAATTCAACAGCTCCTGTTCTTGTTCACTGCAGGTGAGGTTTCTCTAATTTTTTTAATCCCATTGCATTTTGGTTTTTTTAGCGCTGGAGTGGGACGCACTGGAACGATCATATCAGTCAATTATATAAGGGAACTGATTGAGTCTGAAGAGCTGGATTCCTTAGACATTTTCGAACTTGTCATGAGTTTGAGGAAACAGAGAGCAAGCATGGTGCAAACACAGGTTTGTTGTAAGAAAATGAGAATATCCTAGACTTCTCGTGCAATGTTTTTTCAGGATCAGTTTCATTTCGTTCATAAGTGTGTTGCTCATTACTGCAGAGAAAGATTGGGACTTCCCCATCCCTTGCCCAAAGAAGAAGCCCCTGTGAGTTGCAGGATTTAAATCATTCCTTCTACATCGTTGTTGGGATTTTCCTTCAAATGGATTTTGCTTCATGAAGGCAGTCAGCATTTGCAGCAGTACAGTGCAACCCTTTGATCGAATTTTTATCCCCTTTTTCATCTCGCTTGATTTTAAGGAATCTCCTCCCATGGTTCCGAACCACTTAGCTCCATCTTACAATGCTGTAAACGAGAACGGTGACTTATCCATAGACAATGATAGCGACGACGAATTCGAGGGAACTGAGGTTCCGGGTGAGTTCCCTTGACATTCGATGTTGACCAATCGGAAACTTTTGCTTTCAGATTTTCCGCACGAGCCGCCTGCTCCAAGAGGACCGGAGGAACTGGGCAGCGCGGCAAGTTGAAGGTACCTATGTTCACCTTAAATGCGGGGGTGTTTTTCTGTTAGATTTTTGGGTAACACGTTCCCAAGTTTCTCACTCTGTGACCCTTCATCATTCAGTGCCACAGCTCTATGGACTCAAACAATCAACCGGAACTTCCGCAGAACATTTGCGAA